CCGGTGGCGAAAGGACAGTCCGAACACCCCAGACAAGGGAAAAATCATCATAAAAAAAAGAGAGACATGAAAAGCACCACTCAGTTCTGTGCACTTGGAGCATTCTCTTCTTAGAGGTTGCAGAAGGGAGAATGGTGGGATCCTGGATGAAGACAGAGGCAAGGCCAGGTAGCTAATGGCATAGTTATTTTATTAGAATTTTATATGACACATTGTTATATGTTGCCATTAAGCTACATGAGTGACTTCAATGATTAGATAAACCGGTGACTTAAGTGATTAAATAAAATAACCCATGATATTCTATCACTTTTTTATAAAAATAATATCTGAATCAGTGCTAATGTCTTGATTTTTAGCATATTGTGGTTGTGTAGGAAAATATATTTAAGTGAAATATAAATTTCAGTATTGGGGTGAAGGAGTATCATGTTGGCAACCTACTCTCACAGGTTCAGAAAAATATCTGTACTGTACCTGCAACCTTTCTATAAGTTTGATGTTGCTTCCAAATAATAATACAAAGAGAAAACCAAGGCTGAAAAAGTTATATAATCTGGCCAAGTCCACATGGATAACAAGTGGCAGCTCCAAAGTGCAACTTGGGTGTTTCTGACTCCTAAATCCACACCCTCCCCCACCAACTACATGGCCTTGGACATCCCAGCTGCCTCCCCACCAGACCCTTCAAAATCTGTTCAAGAGCACCTCTGTTCTTGCTTCTTCGCCTGCGGACCAGCCCCCCCACCCCACCCCAAGCCGAGCTGAGGTCCTTTTGATGGAATTGCTCCCCCACTTGCCTAACCTGGCCCTGGCCCTGACCCCCATTTCCCGCCTGGCCCAGCACCCACATCAGGGCACGTGGCAGGCAGCAACAGGTCAGCTGAAAGCACTCAGCACTCCAAGTGGGCTCTGGCTGGTTTCCTGCTCCTTGAAGTGGGGTTCCATCCGCTGAGCTCATTCTACCCCTCTCCCCCAAATCGTCCCACACTTCCTGAGGATCTCAAGATTTTTCAAGCCACTTACAGGTAAGAATGGCAATTTTTTCTTGTCTTGGTTCCCCATTGTTACCATTCCTACAGTTTGAGATTTCCTTCTAATCAAGTGCTTAAATAGCAAATCTCATCAGAGATTCATACGAAGTTCCTACAATTAAGTTCGTGAACTTGTTGCAACGATGTTGCTAATCTTTTTTTATATCAGAGGGATTATTCATTATGAATTTGTACCAACTGGACAAACAGCTAACCAAGTTTACTATTTGGAAGTGCTGAAAAGGCTGCATGAAAAAATTAGACAACCTGAACTTTTCACCAACAATTCATGGCTCTTGCATCACGACAATGCATCAGTTCACACGGCACTCTCTATGAGGGAGTTTTTAGCCAATAAACAACTGTATTGGACCACCCTCCCTACTCACCTGATCTGGTCCCCAGTGACTTCTTTATCTGAAGATAAAGGGAATATTTAAAGGAAGACATTTTGATGACATTCAGGACATCAAGGGTAATATGACGACAGCTCTGATGGCCATTCCAGAAAAAGGAGTTCCAAAATTGCTTTGAAGGGTGGACTAGGTGCTGGCATCGGTCCATAACGTGCCAAGAGGAGTACTTCGAAGGTGACCGTAGTGACATTCAGCAATGAGGTATGCAGCACTTTTTCTAGGATGAGTTCGCAAACTTAATTTTTATATGTCACCCATGACAAAGACAGAAACTGCTGCTCTCCTGCGACCTTCCAGGCCTGGCCCTGCCTTCCTACAGCTGAGTCTACCGTGCAGAGCAAAGGGGAATATGCATTACCTGTGATATGACAGTCATTACCTGTGACTCCGAGCCATATGCCCACCCAACTTAGCAGCAAGCTCCAGAAGCAGGAGCTGGGACGCCATGGGGCTCAGTGCTGAGGTATAGCCCATGATCCCATGAGAGACAGTTTGTTCCAGATCAACCTGACCACCTCAGCTTGAGCCAGGGCCTCTGCACTGTCTGGAACCACATGGACCCTTCCAAAAGCTAAAGACGCTCTGGAGCTGGAATGGAAGGAGTCACATGGGGATATCCCTGTATCTTGCTGATCTGCCTCTTTTCTCTCCTGGGAAA